CTTCGCACCCCTGCGTTATAGATATGTATCGCCTGACCAATTAAATTTGAGACGCGCAAATTAATTTCGTGTAACAATTGGAAAATTTAAGAGATGGAATGTCCATGGAAAATTTGGTGGAACGTTTGTCAATTGATATTACTGGGTGCAGCAGAAATGTCAAGAAAAAGGATTGAAAATTTATTGATATTTTTATTGTTTTTTTTTTACTAGTTAATAATTATATTTAATGTGGTATATAAAATTTGAAATTTAGCATGCATTTCTTTCTAAACTTCATGAAAATTTACCCATTGAATTAAATAATAATAATATATAATTTTTTTCTGTTCCAAACGATATGTCAAAAATAAATATAAAAGAAAAAAGTGATATAAATTATATGCCTATATATGCAGAAAAAAAAGATTGAATATATAAAATTAAATAAATATCAATCGCAACCTAAATACTTTCTAATGTAATAGGAAAACAACGTTGAAATAAACATAATGCTTGCTTGTTGTCTATTAAACCTAGTCTCACTACTTAATACCCTCACTACTAATACCATTATTAATATAATTACTAATATCTTCTTAATAACACCAGTTTTTATAACTTTTTCTTTTTGATTTATATTCAAACAATTGACTATCTCGTCTCGATTTAGGTCCAGGTGCATAACTCAATCATTTCTGTTTACGTTCAAGCAATGAAACGTAAGAATATAAGTCACAAATTTAGATGATGTGATTTTCGTTTCTCATGGTGTTGTGGTGTTATTATCGTTGGTGATATTGTTATCGTTGTGTGATTATTGTGATTGTTGATGTGGTTATTGTGATTGTTGATGTGGTTATTGTGTTGGTAGCGGTCGTGTTGTTGGGGGTATAAGGGTAGTAGTGGTGCTATTGGTGGTTTTACTGCTGTTGGTAATGTTGGTGGTGGCTTTATTATTGATGTTAACATTGGTGGTGGTGGTCTTGTTGTTGGTAAGATTGGTGGTGATGTTGGTGGTGGTGTTGATGGTGGTTTTATTATTGTTGTTAATATTGGTGGTGGTGGTCTTGTTGTTGGTAAGATTGATGGTGATGTTGCTATTGGTGGTGATGACGATGATGGTGAC